CCTGTGGGCCCCAGCCCCTCGCCGCGCTCCTCGCGCCGCGCCCCCGTGGGGGGGCGCCTCCGGCGAGGAGGCGCGCGAGGCCGCCAGCCGCCGGGCCCGGCGCGGCGGCGGCGCCGCGCGCTCGTCGCCGACGCCGCCGCCGCGCCGCGGGGGCCGGCAGGCCACGCGGCCGCCGCCCTCGGGAGCCTCGAGACGGGGGTCAATGCAAACGGGGGTCAGCCAGACGCCCGCGGCGACGTCGTCGTGGTCGCCGAGGGTCGTCGCGGCCCTCGCTCGCCGAGCGCGCGCCGCTGCTCTGAAGTCGGGCGTGTCCCTCTACAGGATTAGGCCCTGCCCGCCCGCGCCCTGTCTCCCCAATTAGGGCTACCCGCGTCCCGTTTAGCTCTTGACCGGAAGGGGCCCGCTCCCGACCCGCGGACCAGACAAGTCCCTCTACAGGAGGAAGATTCAGGAGTAGCCAACAAATAGTCAGGGGGCGATTTCTTGAGTGTTTTTTTTCAGCATCGGGGGTGTCTGTTTTGAGTCTTTCTCATTTTTCGCCCCAAATCCCCCTGCAGGAGGACACGCCCGACTTAACGCTACTTGCAAAAGTTTCAGGCCTCCTAGACGGGGTCCGAGGAGATGGGGTCGGAGGATGGCGCCGCGTCGCCGATGCATCGGCCATGCATCGGCGATGCGGCTCGATGCGGGGCCCAATTTTCTCTCCACGACGACGTCGCCGATGCGTCGCCGATGTCGCCAGCGTATGGCCGATGCATCGCCGATGCATCGGCGATACGTCGCCGACGTATCGGCGGTGCGGCGAGATCATCCGACCTAATCTACTCCGACCCCATCCAGGAGGCCTCCAGATGTATAGATAGATAGATAGGTACACACACATATATATATGTATATATATATACATATATATATATATAGTTGTAAAACTATATGTATATTGTGCGTATAGATTTGTAGTGGGTCGTAAGTCACCCGCGGCGGATCCAGGCCATCTGCGAGTAGTTCTTTTGCGAGTAGTGGCACGCGCTCGTGTAGACGCCGTCGCCGATGGTCCTTGGCGTCGTCGGTTGCCGGTGGTCGTCGCCGTCGCCGTCGCCGCCGCCGCGCCACTGGGGCCAGCAGGGCGCGTGGCGGGGGCACATCAGGGGCAAGGGCAGGGGGGGGGGTAATGGGCACAGGGGTAGGCCCTCGTCTTTGGATACCCGACATGGGTACGGACAAACGAGGGTACGATGCCCAACAACAAATGCTGTCCATAACCGACAGCGCCCGCTGTCGGGCAGGCGGCCTTCTGTCTGCCTGGCTCGCTGAAAGAGCACCCGCCGCGCGCCCTGCTGGCTGCCACGGCGCGGGGGGTCCGAGCTGGAGAAGGCCGGAGGAAATCGCTCCCAAAGGGATGATGAGGGCACCTTCGCTTAAATCTGTCTCTGTCCTCCGACCTGTGCTGGGCCACCATACCCCCCCAAGTCAGGTCCAAGAATGGGGGAGGCAGGACGAGCAGGGGCAGGAGGGACGAGGGATGAGGAGGGCCAGAGGCCCAGAAGACCTAGGAGCAGGAGGAAAGGGCCAAGTCCGAGGCCGATGAGGCGAGGAGGGCCGGGGTGGGCATGTGGAGGGAGATGAAATAGATGATGATGACGACAATGGGTGATGATGCTGATGATGTCGTTGATGTTGATGAGAAGGGTGACGGTGATGATGATAGTGATGGTGCGTATGCTGATGCGGATGTGGATGCTTATGATGATGCTGATGATGAGGAGGAGCAGGAGCATGAGGATGAGCATGTAATGAGGATGATGAGAAAGATGGTGATGATGAGGACGAGGAAGAGACTGAGGACGCTGATGCTGATGCTTCTGTTGAGACTGATCATGATGGTGGTGATGATGTTGATGATGATGCTGATGGTGATGGGGGTAGTGGTGATGGTGGTGGTGAAGGACATAAGGATGGGGATGTTGATGCTGATGCTGATGCTGATGCTGCTGCAGATGATGATTATGAGGATGATGATGACGATGATGATGATGCTGATGATGATGATGACGATGCTGACGATGATGATGATGATGATGATGATGATGATGATGATGATGATGATGATGATGATGATGATGATGATGATGATTATGATGACGATGATGATGATGATGATGATGATGATGATGACGATGATGATGATGATGATGATGGTGGTGATGATGATGCTGATGATGGTGATGATGATGGTGGTGATGATGATGATGATGCTGCTGCTGCTGCTGCTGCTGATGATGATGATGATGATGATGATGATGATGATGATGATGATGATGATGGAGGTGGTCATGTTGATGCAAGGAGGCGGACACCTGGAGGGCTACCCAGGCCCCAGGCGTCCCGACAAGGGCCCCCCCCCACTCTGCCGCCTCCCCCTTTGAGCAACGCCCCACTCTGGCGATGGCCTCTGGCGTTGGTGGCACGGCGGCGGAACTCTGGGCCTCCCAGACTCAAGGGCGGGAAGACCTCTCCGACTCCGACAACTGGCGTTTACGAAGCAGCCTTGGGCGTTTGCTGAGCAGCCCCGCTCTGTTCGATTCCTGCCTTGGGTGGTGTTTACTGAACGGCTTCGCTTGTCGGCAGGCTTCTTATGGGGGTGGATTTCTGCCCTCTATACAGACGGCGTCTGCGCAGATGGGGCCAGAGGACCGCTCCGCATCGCCGATGCACAGGCGATGCGGCTCCATGTGGAGCCCGACGTTCTCCACGCCCACGTCGCCGACGCACCGCCGATGCATAGGCGATGCGGCGCGATCCTCCTACAGCCGGGGCACTAAAGAAGGAACCTTCTTCGGCGGGGACGGACTCAGTATTCCTTACCATTGTTGTACAGTTCGTCTCAGGCTCTCCTCAGATGTGACCGAAGCTGAACTTGGGGCAGCAAGGAGCCTCGATCCCTCCTTGGGGCCCCTTCCGACAGCGTTCCCCCTCTGCTCGGACCCCACCCGGGAGGCCCCGGGGGCCGCGCGGCCCGCCCAGAGGCCCCCGACCGGCGCGCCCGCAGCGGCGCGGACGACTCGCGGGAGCCCCCGGGCCGCCGCGCCCGGACGACTCGCGGCGCCGCGGAGGCGCGGGGCGCCGCGGAGGTGCTTTCCTCGCCGTCGCCGCCGCCGCGCCGCGGGGGCCGGCAGGCCGCGCGGCGGGGGGCGGCCGCCGCCGCCTCCGGCGACGCCGTACGGGGGTCGCCGAGGGTCGACGTCGGCGTCGCCGCCGCCGCTGGTCATCGGCGTCGTCGTGCTTGCCGATGGTCGTCGTCGTCGTCGTCGTCGTCGGCGTCGTCGTCGTCGTCGTCGTCGTCTGCGGCGGCGGCGGCGGCGGCGGCGGAGGCGGTGGCGGCGGCGCGGGGGCAAACCATGGGAGCATGGTCTAACCTCGCAATTCCGTCTTTAGCGTGCGCTAGCGTCGACTTGCCTCTGCTAGCTGGCAAGATAGCGCCGGTCTAGCGACAGGCAGCTTCGATTAGCGTCGAGTTAGCGTTGATTAGTGTTGACTCGCTTCGATCAGCATCGGCCCACTATACTGTGCGGGAGGCTTCCATGAGTTGCCACCGAAGCTGCCGCTGCCGTCTGCGTCAGCGTGGCCACTGTTAGGAGACTGGAGGCAGATGCGGGAAAGACTGATATGGACTTCTTGAGAGCGGGAGCCAAACGGCCGAGGCGCAGTGGATATGGAGAACATTGTTGCTTCTAGGGCCCGATGTTCATCCATATCCACTGCGCCTCGGGCGTCCGGGGAAGGGAGCCCTAAACTCGCAGACGCAGAGGATCTGGATACGAGTCTGGCCCGCGCGTTGTACAGCGACGGGAGACAGCCGTAACCGTTTACGCCGTCCGTTCGCCGAAGCAGGCAAAACAGTTTTAAGCCAGCCGGCCCCCAAAAGTGCAAGAGGCAGACAGGTGCAGGTCGGGCCAGAGGCGGGGCGCGCCGAGGCAGACTGGGGCACGAAAGAGGAAGAAGAGCCGAACGAAGCGAGAATGGAGAATGGGACAGAGCCGCTCAGATCGTGAAGACTATCGCGGTGGACCGCTGGGAGAACGCGCGTGCTGCGTGCGAGCAGCGGAGGCAGGGACCAGCTTGAAGTGGAGGGCCTCGATGAGGCACAGAGCGCCGGGATCAGGGGGACCACGAGTGGGACCAGAGCGCCAGGAACGTGCATGGTAGGGCAATGTGAGGTGGCGCACGCGTCAACATCGCGACTCGGCAAACCAGAGCCGAGCCGTGTAGAGGGAGGCCTCGAAGTGGTGAACAGGATGAAGTGGCTGTACTCAAAGGGGCCAAACACGGAGTATCCGAAGCTGAGTTGAGGACTCAAGGGCTGCGAGCAGAGCATAAGCAAATTGAGCAGACAGACGCACCGGGTGCAAGGCCGAATGGTGACGGCCGGGAAGATAGGCGGTGAGCGAGGGCGGGAAGTGAGAAGGAGAAGGCCTTCTCAGAAGGTGGCGGGACTTCTCAGAAGCCCTCGCGCCTTCGCTCCTCGCCTTCGGCGTCTCCTGGGACGGCGGAGGCAGCTTTTTAGGAGGCCAGGGAGCGTCCGAGCCTTCTGAGAAGCCCCGCCCCTCCTCTTCCCCCCCCTCGCCTCCGCCGCCGAGACGACGCGCAGGGGGCGCCCGGGCGGCGAAGGGCCTGGCAGAGACGGCGGCCGCAGGAGCCGCCCCCTCGCCGAGCAGCACGGGGCGGGCCCGTGCCGAGCTCTGGCGAGGGACAGCGCGGGCGACGCCGGGCGAAGGGGCGAGGAGGAGGAGGAGGAGGAGGAGGAGGAGATAAGCACGAGGAGGAGGAGGAGGAGAAGGAGGAGGAGGAGGAGGAGGAGGAGGAGGAGGAGGAGGAGGAGGAGGAAGGGCGCCCCTGCCCCCCGCTCCCCCATTGCCCTCTCGCCGCCGTGCCCGCCTCTGGGCACTGCCCGACGGGCCGCCGCACCACCCCCGCCCGCCTGCCTCGGCCCCGTGGCCGTCATGGCGCTGCGCCGGTGCGCGGCCACGGCCCTCGTGGGTGGCGCGGCCGCCATCGACAACGGCCTCGGGCTCTCACCGCCGATGGGCTGGAGGAGCTGGAACTGCTACCACAACGACGTGGACCAGGACAAGCTGCAGAGCGTCATGGCCAAGGCCCGGAGTTGGCGGCAAAGCCCTTGGGGGCAAGCGAGAGAGAGGGGGCTGGCCTTCTCGGGAGGCGGCGGGGCTGCTCAGAAGCCCTCGCGCCTGCTGAGCAGCAGCCCGTGTCTTCGCAGCGTTAGGGGGGGGGATCGGCTCAGGTGGGGACGCCCAGGGACCCCCCAATCGCCCACTGATCGCCTGCAGGGGCCCGATAGCTCGCCCCGCCCAGGACCGATTCTCCTTCAGGGGCCTATCGCCGATCTGCTGGCGGCGTATCGCCGGTGCCAGGTCGCTGTGCCGGTGTCCCCCCCTTTTACGTTGCCCCTCAGAATGAGAAGCAACGGCGTAAAAGTGGCATGAACGTTCAGAGTGGATTTCTTGGGTCGGCGCTGGGCCCCCCCGACGGCGCCTCCGACGCCGCCCTTGGCGCGCTCCGCGCGCCAGGGAGGGAGGCATCAGCGCAGATCCAAGGAATCCGCCCAGGCCTTCGAAGGTTATTATTTAAAGTCTACTAGGCTTGGCCGCGAGTACACCGTGACCGCGAACCCACCTGCGGTGGCCGTCACTCCCACCCGCACGCCACCCCACCATAAAGATCATCTCTCCCCTCGTTAGAACCGCATCGACTACAGCTTCGAAACGACGACGACGACGGCGACGACGGATGTGCGACCCAGTGGGCACGCGAGTGCTGTAACGAGCGGGACGAGTCGGGTCGGGCGGAAGAGGTTCTGCACGCATGCGCAGGAAACGCTAGTCGGTGGAATGGGTGGAACGGGTCGCAACGGAAGGCACTTTGTATTGTAAAATAAATGAGATTCTGCACGCATGCGCAGGAAGTGCTATTTTTTGCAGTAGATGGAGCGGGTTTACATAAGAGTGGCGCATTTTGTGCTGTAAAAAACGGGAGATGTTGCACGCATGCGCAGCAAAAGCTATTTTTTGCAATAGATGGGGCAGGGTCGCGACGGGGACTGGGCACTTTGTGCTGTAAAAAATAGGAGATTCTGCACGCATGTGCAGGAAATTCTACTTTTGCAGTAGATGGAGCGGGGTTGCATACGGGCCGCTTTTGAGCAACTCAGGGTTTCACAATTATAGGATTAAGAATCGAGTCTGATTTGTAGGTCGACCCTGCAAAATCCAACGTGCCTTGTCTTCTGTGTGTTCGCATCCCGTGTCCTGTGCATTCCTGGGGCAAGGTGGCCCTCGGAATTTTCTTGTGCCCTCTCGCGTGCCCTCACCACTCGGACTCGACTGTATGCCGTTCTTGTTATTCTTAAGGTGGCCAGCCGTGGCCGGCTCGTGGACGGCAGAAACGCGAGCCTCGCCGACGTGGGCTACGTGGACGTGGGCCTGGACGACAATTGGCAGGCCTGCGGGGCAGGCGTCAACGGGTCCTTCCACGATGCCGAGGGGCGCCCTCTCATCACCGAGGAGCACAAGATCACGTGAGCATCACGTTCCCAAGGTCCGCGCTGATTTCTCGGATCGGTGCTGGACCCTCCTCCCCAGCGAGCGGAGCGCGCTCAGGGGCGGCGCTCAGAGGCCCCAGCAGGGAGCTCCAGCGTCGATCGAATCAGTCCGCGCGGGCCTCAGTTTGTTTATGCTCATGTCATCGTGTGCTCCCCGACATCAACCTGACCAAGTTCCCGTCCATGAAGATGATGACCGACCTCGCGCACAGCTTGGGGCTCACTGCCGGCTGGTACATGAACAACTGCGATTGCGCAGAGAGCATGTTCAAAACCCCGGAGAGCATCGAGAAGCACATGAGGGGGAGCGCCGCCGCGGTGGCCGAGTACGGCTTTGATGGTGTCAAGCTCGATGGGTGCGGGCAGTTCATGAATCTCACTTGGTGGGCGGAGCTGCTCAATGCCACTGGTAGGCCCATATTGGGATGCAATTCCTGAGAGGTTGAATTCAGCATCGGCGCTCGCATAGTTTGTCCGTGACTGGACAATCTGGCACAGTCCCCCTTAACTGGACAATCTGGACAATATGGCGCTTCGCCCTGCTCAATCCAGCCCAATCAGGCTTGCAGTCAACCCACATAGTAAGGGGGGGCAACCTTTCCAAGGGCGGTCCATCCTTGGCTACTTTATTTGGCCGCTCCCCGCTCGGAAAGCAGCTACATGGGCGTCCAAGCCCCTTGCATCCTTGTCGCGCATCCTTACTACACGAGTTGACTGCAACCCCGGGCCCGCCATGGCTCAACCGCGCTTGCTGGCCACCTTACTTGGGCTCAGTAGCCCCCCGCCGTTCTCGCGAGGGCCTCCCGGCCTCCCATGGAAGCTGCCTCCTCACCTGTCATGATAGAGAACTGCCACTGGGGCAAGACCGTCCCGGGCGACACCGCCGGAGATGCGCCCTGCACGGGCCTCACTACTCCGTCCGATTGCCCGTACAACTTCTTCCGCACCAGCTTCGACATCCAGGCCAACTGGCAGTCCATGTTCAACAACCTGCAGACGACCACGAAGTACCAGGGCGACCCGCCGCTGGCCCGCCCTGGCGCGTGGGCCTACCCGGACATGCTGGAGGTGGGGAATTGGGCGGCCAGCTACGAGGAGGAGCGCAGCCACTTCGGCGCGTGGGTCATCACGAGCTCCCCGCTCATACTCGGCTTCGACGTCAACAACGACACCACGACGGACAGGATCTGGGACATCATCACCAACCGCGAGGCGATCGCCATCAACCAGGCATGGGCGGGGCACCCCGGCCGACTGGTCAGGACCATCCCCGACGCGGAGGGGCAGCCGCAGATGCAGTTGTGGGCGAAGCCCGTCGGTCTCGGCGGCGAATCACGGGAGCCTGGCGTGCCCTCTCCATTCTGTCCTTAGCGTCGATTGGCGTCTGGGAGTCGATGAGATGTGCTGAGGTAGCGTCGACTTAGCGTCGACGTAGCGTCGCATTGGCGTCGATTTGGCGTCGGTTAGCGTCGGTTAGCGTCGACTCAGCGTCGATTCGCAAGTGCTGACAAGATGGTACTCTGGAGGCGTTCGTGAAGGAATGTGCCCAGGAGGCGTCAGACCCTGGAGGATTCCTCATCTGACGAGGGCGGCGGTGATATCCATGGCCAAACCTCAATTGGCGTTCCAGTAGCTTCAAGACCCTGGATTTCTCATCCAGTGGCCCCTTGTCTAGTGCCCTCACTGTATGGGAGGCCCCCACGAGTTTTAAGATGTTCCTACCTACTTTAGCCTTGATCACCAAAGAGAATATCGAGCACCAGAAAAGTACCGAAACTCGAGGGTTTTCACGTGTCGGGCCCTGGGAGATACTCGCCCGACACTGCTCCGACACAGTCTGTCGACACCCTTTTCCACACTTTCCCGGGTGCTCGAAGTCATTTTTCTGGGCTGTGGTCCTCACACACGATGGGAGCAAGACGGCACGAGCTGCCCACCGAGCGCAGGTGGCGGCCGCACCGCGGTGTTCGTCCTCAGCAACGACGCCCGCGAGAGCCGCGCCGTGCCCGTGGCGCTGGAGGACCTGGGGCTCGGCGGGCGCGTGCGCGTGCGCTGCGTCTGGGGCAGGAGCCCGGAGGGGCGGAACGGGCGCAGTCGCCACGCTGCACGCAGGGCGGGGGCGGCAGAGAGGGGTGGTGGTGACGGGGGGGGGGCATCAGGGCGGTGACGAGGGGGGCGGCAGAGAGGGGGGGGGGGTGACGAGGGGGGGTGGGGCATCAGGGGGGTGGGCCATGGTGTTTCCCCGGATCTCCTGGCGCCTCCTCTTGTTTCAGTACGTCCCTGGCCCCCCCCCCCTTTGGGCCGCGCGCGTGCCGCCGGCCATGCTTTGCGCCCCCCCCTCTCTTGGACGCCCCCCTCTTGGCCGCCCCCGAGTAAGGCGGGCGTGATGGGCACGTTTTCCACCACCACCAGAAGTTGGAGGAGGAGCAGGAGGAGGAGGAGGAGGAGGAGGAGGAGGAGGAGGAAGAGGAGGAGCCGCTCCCCCTCTCCAACCTACGGTGGTGGTGGTGGTGGAAGACAGGCCCTTCAGGGCGTGTGCCTCTGCAGGAGGGAAGCCGGGGACGATGCTTCGGGCTCTTGTTCCTGAATCTTTTGAGGCCGGTTTGGAACTATGCTTTAGGAGGAGGAGGAGGAGGAGGAGGAGGAGGAGGAGGAGGAGGAGGAGGAAGTGGAGGAGGAGGAGGAGGAGGAGGGAGGAGGAGGAGGAGGAGTTTGAATATATTTCCTCCCAAAATCCACCTGCAGGAGGGCATGCCAGACCTAACGCCAGATTTCGGAGCTCCGCGCGACGAATTCCTTCGAGCGGCGCCGGGCCCCCGCCTGAAATCCGCGCGCGCAGACCATCAGCGGAAGGAGAAGGAGGAGGGGGAGGAGGAGGAGGAGCAGGAGGAGGAGGAGCAGGAGGAGGAGGAGGGGGAGGAGGAGGAGGGGGAGGAGGAAGGGGAGGAGGTGGAGGAGGAGGAGGAGGAGGAAGAGGAGGTTGTGTTCGCGTCGCCTCGTGCTGCCTGCCAGCCCCGAGGGGAAGTGAGAAGGGGCGGGCCTTCGCAGAAGGCTCGGAAGTCCCCCAGTCTTCTGCGAAGTTTTCTGAGCCTTCCTGCGGACGCAGAGAACCTCTCAGAAGGCCGGCCAGAGCGCTTCTTAGAGTTCCCGCCGCCTTCCTGAGAGGGCGCTCCCCTTCTCACGTCCTCCCCTTGCTCGCCGCCAAGTTTGGGTTTTGTGTCATAACTCGGGTCTCTGGCGGCCGTTCGGGACGATCTGGGCACCCCTGGAACGCCCTCGGCGAGGCGCAGCTGCTGGCAAGCATCCCGAGGCTTGAAAACCGCCGAGAACCGACGAAAGCGTCCGAAAACCTTGAAGTTCGAACCTCGAACTTCCCCCCCTCCCTCGCGGCCGAGAGGAGAGATCTCGGTGCGTTCTCCGGAGCCTTCCACACCGACCACATCGGCCCACACGACTCCCGGCTCTACGTGTTGTCGCCCGCCGAGGACTCGGGGGAGGCCGCCGCGGACACGCTCGCGTACGTGTGACGTGGGCCCGGTGTCGGTGTGGCGCGCGCGCGACAGAGCAGAGGAGGAAAAGGTACGATGTGTTTGACCATGTCTGAGCATTTTGTTAAATTGTTTTAGGACTGTTTTTCATTCTTCGCCCAAAATCCGCCTGTAGTGGGACACGCCCGACCTAAGTTTATAAAACGTCGGCCCAGAGCCAAACACGGGACCGGGGGCAGGGGACGGGACCTCTACAGGGCTCAGAGGAGGGAAAAGGTACCCACATCCCTCCCCTAGTGTTCGCCTTGTTGGGCCTCTCCTGGGGCGCCCTCGTCGCCACCGCTGGATTCGCCCTGAAATCCTGGTCAGAACGCACCCCGGGAGACGTCCGGGGAGTGTTTGGTTTCCCTCCCAAGAAAAAGGAGCGGGCAGAGCTAGTATGAGGCTTCTGGCTGCGCGCAGACAGCCCCACCAGGCAGTCCCAGCTGGCCTCAACAGGCACACCGAGCCGGGGCTTCTTTCGATTCCCCCGATTCGGTTCGATTCGATTTCGATGGAGTCCGATTTCGATTCGATTCGATTTCGGATTCCGATGTGGGCTCCGATCTCTCAGTGGAGGCCTGCTAGCCTGCCGATGTCCGCCGATGCGACGCTTCCCGACTCGGCTGCCGATTTCCGCCGATCCGACCCATTTTGATCGCCGATCCGACTTATCGATTCGATTCTGAGCTCTTCTAGAGTCAATGCAGACGGGGGTCAGTTAGAGCGCCGGATCTTACAGGATCCTGCGGCGCCATGGTTTCACTGACCCCGGCTTGCGTGCAGGATCGCCGATCCGATTCAATTCGATCGCCGATCCGACTTCTCGAGTCGGGCTCTCCTGCCGAGTGGCCCCAGCTGGCCTGAGCGGGCCCCCCGAGCAGTCGCGGGCGGGAGCAGTCGGGTCGCGCTGCCTCCGGCGGCGCCCCTGGGACGCTCCGCGCCCCAGGGTCGAGGTGGCAAGACCTCCCGGACCACTCGCGGGAGGCGGAGAAGGAGGAGGAGGAGGAGGAGGAGGAGGAGGAGGAGGAGGAGGAGGAGGAGGAAGGAGGAGGAGGAGGAGGAGGAGGAGGAGGAGGAGGAGGAGGAGGAGGGGGAGGAGAGGAGGAAGAGGAGGAGGAGGAGGAGGAGGAGGAGGAGGAGGAGGAGGAGGAAGGAGGAGGAGGAGGAGGAGGAGGAGGAGGAGGAGGAGGAGGGAGGAGGAGGAGGAGGAGGAGGAGGAGGAGGAGGAGGAGGAGGAGGAGGAGGAGGAGGACTGTCAAGGCCAGCTGGGAGTACTCGGGTGGCCTGTTGAGGCCAGCCGGGACTACCCAGGGGGGGGATCTGCGCGCAGCTTGGATCTTTAACCGGCAGTTGGGTCCCGAGACTGGGCGAAAACGCTCATGTGGTTCCAAAAGGGACCCCATGGAAATGGACTTTTGAGGCGGGCGATGCCGATTTCTCAAATCCGCTCGGCTTCGCCCACAAGGTCGCCGCATGGCGCTTTCACCACTCGCAGGCCTCGAAGTCTCAAACGCACCGCCGCGATCTCAGAAGTCCCTTTCGCTGGCGTCCCTTTGGGAACTGCATTAAACGCCCGGCTCTAGAGAACTGCGACGCCAGGGTCCCAGGGCCCAGCAGGCCCCAATTCCGAAGTTGGCCGACGCCTTCGGTAGCAAATCGTGCAAGCCTTGCGTGTTCTCGCAATTCCATCTTCAGAGTGCGCTGGCGTGCGCTAGCGTCTAGTGGGTAATGAGAGAGCGTCGATTGGCGTCGATATAGCGTCGGCGATGAGCGTCGATGAGCGTCGATCTAGCGTCGGCGAGGGTCGATTCGCACGAGCTAAGGAGATGGTATGGGAGGCTCCCATGAGATGCCACCGAAGGGGAAGGACGACGAGGGGGAAGCAGGAGGAGGAGTTGGAGCCGGCTGGGAGGCTGAGGTAGCCCAGCGCTGGCTCCGGCCGACGCCGCTCGAAAAATTTGTCAGGTTCGACCCCGAGAGGGGTTCGGGGATCGATGTTCAGCGACGTTGCTCTCATCTCCCCCTCTTGGCAGATTTTCCCTGGGCGTATCCAGCTCAGACCCCCAGGTGCCTTCAAGAGGGAGGACGACAAGAAGAGAACAGGATATGGACGGGAGGGAGAGGAGGAGAAGGAGGAGGAGGAGGAGGAGGAAGGGGGAGGAGGAGGGGGAGGAACATCAGGAGGACGAGGAGGAAAAAAAGGACGAGTCTTGAGCGCCAGAGTCAGACAAAAGGGCCTACTACCAGAAGACGGAAGGACACAAGACGAAGGCACTGAAGAAACGTCAGAACATGAAGCAAAAGTCAATAAGAAGGGGATATATCGAAGATATAAGTTGTCGGAGGTCAGCGCG